TTCACTTTGAACCTCAATTATTAACTTTAAGTTTTTTTATAAACTTGGTGGAAATTTTTTTTCAGGTATTTTTAGTCCCTTTCCATATTTACTAACCCTTATTCATGTTTCTTCAGCTTCAGAGGATACAGAAATTACACTTATCAGCCCAGTACATTTCTCTATACAGTGCCCTCCACTAATATTGGCACCTTTGGTAAATATGAGCAAAGGCAGCTGTGATAATAAATAAGCATTGTTTATTTTTTTGATCTTTCATTCAAAAAATACTTCTACAGCATTTAATCTTAGATAATGTTACTTTTTGTGTAATGACAAATCACTTGTTTTCTTCCTCATTGGCAAGTCACTTTGGATAAAAGTGTCTGCTAAATGAATAAATGTAGCCCAAATGTTAACTAATGAAGTAATGTTAAATGGATCATTATCGTAAAGTGTTATTCAAGTAACTGATTCACATGATATATTAAACTGTGTAACTTGTTAATTGTTTGCAGACATGCATAATGTTTCATTTGGTTATCTAAGTAAAATGCATGCACTCACTTAGCTGGGAACAATTTGTGAGTAAATGGGTTAAGTTATGGTGTTTGCAGAACATTTGCCACACCTGGCTGCATCTGTAGAGTATAGCCAGATGGTACGAATGTGCACTGGACAACAGATCCAGCTAACTGTCTATGAGGAGTCTTTTTTTCTTTTCTTTTCTTTTCTTTTTAATGCACAGTATAGCAAACAAGTCCTTACCGAATTTTGACAAACATCAGCAGGAGATACAAGAATCCCATTTTATATAATTTCCCTCTTTATTGTACATAATTTCACCTTTAAACAATTACATTTAACAGTTACATTTCATTTTAATTCATCATATGCACATTTCTTGTGTAGCCTAATAATAGCAGAGATCAGTTTTTAGCTGAACCATATCAACAACTCATCAGATCATTGGCTTTCTCTAGTGGAGGCCATATAGTCCTACATTACAATAAATTATTCTATTACAATATTACACAAGGCATAATACAATTATGTGTTTAATTAAGTTTTAACACTCCAACTTGAAATACATTCACTTTGAACCTCAATTATTAACTTTAAGTTTTTTTATAAACTTGGTGGAAATTTTTTTTCAGGTATTTTTAGTCCCTTTCCATATTTACTAACCCTTATTCATGTTTCTTCAGCTTCAGAGGATACAGAAATTACACTTATCAGCCCAGTACATTTCTCTATACAGTGCCCTCCACTAATATTGGCACCTTTGGTAAATATGAGCAAAGGCAGCTGTGATAATAAATAAGCATTGTTTATTTTTTTGATCTTTCATTCAAAAAAATTCACAAAATTCTAACCTTTCATTGAAGTAAAACAATTGAAAATGGGGGGAAATCACATTATGAAATAAATGTTTTCTCCAATGCATGTTGGCCACAATTATTGGCACCCCTAGAAAATCTTATGAGGAAAATATCTCTGAAGTATATTCCCATTCATATTTACATTTTATTTTAGCAAACCAGGGTGACTAGAGCATGAAATTGTCCAGCAATTACTTCCTGTTCCACAGGATTATAAATATGAGGAACACAAAGGCTAAATTCACTCAATCATCTTGCCATTTGTGTCAATAATGTAAATTAAACATTAGAAAGAAAATCACTGTAAAATACATTTATATTTGTAAAATAATGTATATTGAATTTATACAGTGAAGACTATTCAGTCTATTTCTAGTCTATTTATTTTATACAATATATTTCTTATTCAGTGCTTTAAGTGTTTGTAGGTCAATTTCTTTGTTCTATTGTAATTCATGACGGTTTACTTGTCTTCAGTAAGTTTGTTTTTACATAGGCTAGTATTTTTTTGTTGTTGAGATATTGGAATTGGTAACAAGAATTATGAAACTTTGATTGGATAAAAATCCTATGTTAAGCTATATCATTATTGTGGCGTGGGGGCCTGCAGTAAGTCATAGCCCCGGGGCCCATTGAGGTCTTAATGCGGCCCTGACTAGGAGCATGAAATTGTCCAGCAATTACTTCCTGTTCCACAGGATTATAAATATGAGGAACACAAAGGCTAAATTCACTCAATCATCCACAAGGAGTAAAACCAAGGAATAGTTCAGATGTGCAGAACAAGATTGTTAAGCTTCACAAAAGAGAAAGTGGCTGTAAGAAAAGAGCTAAAGCATTGAAAATCCCCATTTCCACCATCACAGCAATAATTAAGAAGTTCCAATCAACTAAAGATATTACAAATCTGCCTGGAAGAGGACGTGTGTCTATATCGTCCTAATGCACGGTGAGGAGGAGAGTTTGAGTGGCCAAAGACTTTCCAAGGATCACAGCTGGAGAATTACAGAGATTAGTTGAGTCTTCGGGTCAGAAAGCCTTAAAAAATATATCAAACAGCCCCTTCATCACCGCATGTTGTTCAGGAGGGTTTAAAGAAAAATCCTCCTCGCTCATTCAAAAACAAACTCCAGCATATTCAGTTGCCAGACATGACTGGGACTTCAAACAGGACTGGTTTCAATGGTTGGATGAAACAACAAAAAAAGAGCTTTTTACAGAAAACCCACCAGATGGGATAAAAAGTACCCCATGCCCACGGTTAAATATACTGCTGGATCTTTAATGTTGTGGGCCTATTTTTCTGTCAGACGTCCCGGACATCTTGTTCAGAGACATGGCATCATGGATTCTATCAAATACCAAGAGAAAAAAATCTAAACCTGACTGCCTCTGTTAGAAATCTTATAATGGGCCCTGGTTGGATCTTCCATCAGGACAAATCAACACAAAAATGTTGTCACTGAGCACGAGGTTAAGCTTTTGCCATGGCTGTCCCAGTTCCCTGACCTGAAAATAAGCAGGGTGAACTGAAGAGAGGAAGCACTAACATGGAGCTGGGTATCTGAAGGGTCAGGAGAGATTCTGTATGGTCTCTGATCTCTTGTCAGGTGTTCTCTAAACTCATTGGGCATTATAGGAGAAAACTCAGAGCTGTTATCTTGGGAAAAGGACGTTGCAATAATTGGGTGTCAATAATTGTGACCAATGTGAACTAGATAAAAACATTCATTTCATAATGAGATTTTTTCCCCACTTTCCATTGTTTTACTTCAATTGTAGACCAGGATTTTTTGAATGAAAGATCAAATGGATAAACCATGCAGATTTATTTTTACAGCCACCTTTGCTCAACTTTACAAAGGGTGCCAATATTAGTTGAGGGCATTGTATATTCTTAAAAATGTTGTACTTAAGAAAATGTTTCAGTCACTCTAATTTACATTTTTATTATAACTTGAGAACAATGCAGGGCAGATGGAATGCAAAACTGGGATAGTGACCAGGAGCTGATGCATGCACAGTCATGAAACAGCACATGGCATGCACAGACATGATACAATGGAAAACTGAAACTAACAGTTGACTAACTGAAATTAAATAATTTTTCTACTCTCAGACAGGGGAGCCTTTAAAGTATATACACATGAAATTGGCTTGTATACTGCGGACAAAAAGATGGAGTTCCTGTCAGAATTCACAGCACTAGCTCCATTCCTTTCCTGTTGCATTACTCCAAGTTAGACTTTGACTAGTATCCCCTGTGAAGATATCATCACCTCGATGACCATCGGTTCAAGACCACGGGAACCAGACAAGTCCTCTGCACCTGTGTTGCAGCCTGAAATTAAACCATGCCATGCTGGTTTCGTCTGGCCAGAGGAGAACTGGCCCCCCAACTGAGCCTGGTTTCTCCCAAGGTTTTTTCTCCATTTCTGTCACTGATGGAGTTTTGGTTCCTTGCCGCTGTCACCTTTGGCTTGCTTAGTTGGGGACGCTTGACTGATTGCACAGACACTATTGGAAGATAACTGAACTGGATGATGGCATCACTGAATCATCAATGAACTTGCTTTAGCTGTAAAAACGACTGCGTTATTGTCTTCTTGCATCAACTATTTTCCTGTTTGACACTGTAAAGTTGCTTTGACACAACCAGTATTGTATAAAGTGCTATACAAATAAAGGTGACTATCTGATTCATTTGTCTCTCAGTACCTTCAACAGTTACATTTATCATATGTTATTAAGTGGATATATATATATATATATATATATATATATATATATATATATAT